TATTATGGATCAGACTCTTGCTTGAATGTGAAAGAATTTGCATGTCTTGTCTTCATGCCATCTGTTAGTTTCCAGTTCCATAACTGCAGTCTGAACTGTATTTAAAATGTCTTTTAACTTTTGCTCCTTCCTGGTTCTGTAAAAAAAAGAAAAAAAAGAAAAAATTCTTTAGTATGATGTAGTCCCCCTGTTTCCGCCTGCAAATAAGGATTTCTCTGATTTCCCTTGTGTTAAATCTCAAATTACAAGTTGTCTCTAAGTATTCACAAAGTTCCACTGTTTTACTCCAGACCTCTGTAACAGCTATTTTATCATGATACTTACTGAAAACTTTTGATGTCAGCAAGCAACAAAAGATGGAAGACTGATACCTTTTCTTTGTGTTCTTTTTTTATCCTTAATGTATATTGGATATGTATGTACTAAAATTACTTCAGATTCTCCTTCAATTCTGTTAATAAAGCATGAAGCAGGTTAAGGAAGGCAATTCTCCCTCTCTTCTCTGATCTCATGAGACTTGCCCTACAGTCTTGTGTCTAGCTCTTGGACAACAACATGAAGGACAAGGAGCTGTTGGAGTGAATCCAGAGAAGGCCACAGAGATGCTGCAAGGGCTGGAGCAACTCTGCTTGGAGACAGGCTGAGACAGCTGGGCTTGTCCAGCCTGGAGAAGAGAAGGCTCCAGGGAGACCCTAGAGCAGCTTCAAGTGCTTAAAGGGGCTGATAAGAAATCTGGAGAGGGGCTTTTGACAAGGGCCTGTAAGGAGCGGACAAGAGGGAATGGCTTTAAACTGAAAGAGGGGAGATTTAGATTAGACATTAGGAAGAAGTTCTTCCCTGTGAGGGTTGTGAGGCCCTGGCACAGGTTGCCCAGAGAAGCTGTGGCTGCCCCATCCCTGGCAGTGTTCAAGGCTGGGTTGGACACAGGTGCTTGGAGCAACCTGGTCTAGTGGAAGGTGTCCCTGCTCATGGCAAGGATTGGAACTGGATGAGCTTTAAGGTCCCTTCCAACCCAAATCATTCTAGGATTCTGTGAATTTATTTTATTCAGCTTGATCCTAGTACTGAAATGTGATAAATGCCTGATGGGCATACCCATGAAATGCCATGGTAAATTTCTTTAGAAAAAGATTATTACTTTTTACAAACATGCAAAATTCAAATCAGCTGGTCACCTCCTAGTACTCAGTGTTCTAAGCAGTGTTGTATTGATTCCACATAATGTTCCCTGTGCTTCAGCGTAACCGAGGTAATTTGGCTCAGGTGACTGAAGCGGCCTTCTCAGCTCAGCCTTATTTGCTGTGTCATGAGAAAACAGATGGATACTGAAACAGAGACAGACTTCATAAAGAAGGACAGAAGATTTAAGAAGTAAGAAAAATAACAGGAACTGAAATGAGATGAAGCCCCATTGTTCTCAGGAGGGTCTGAGTGACCCAAGAGTTACTAGTAGGACTGCTCCCACCTCTGAGCCACAGCTTTGAACTAGCTTGAGCAACCAAGGAGAGTCTTTGTTTTCTGTCAATTTTCTGATATAATCCATAAGATGTGTGAGGTAGTTAACAAGAAGCATGAACTATCACTGTCATAAGATGCAGCAGTTTGGACCAAATCTATGCTAGGTCTTAGGTCTGGCTGGGATTCAGTACTTTAGGAGACAAGAACAGCCACTGTCCATTGGCTGAATGGGCCTTTTGGAATCCATGTGAATTTATGATAGAGCACGTTAGCATAGATAAAGTGGTAATTCTTGCTACATTGAGATGCCTGGCATACCTGTTAAAGGAAGAAGAGTCAACCAGCAAGAAGGGTCAAGGGCAGCAGAAAGATCTTTTTCAAATACATGGCAGATAAAACTAACACCAGAGGCAATGTAGGCCCACTGATGAACAGGATGGGTGCCCTGGTGACAGAAGGTACAGAGATGGCAGAGTTACTGAATGCCTTTTTTGTCTCTGTCTACTCTGCCAGAGGCAGTCCTGAAGAGTCCTTTACGCCTGAGACCTCAGATGAAGTCAGGTCAACGGAGCGGTTTGCATTAGTCGATGAGGAATGGGTTAGAGACCAGTTGAGCAATCTGGACATCCATAAATCCATGGGTCCAGATGGGATGCACCCGCGGGTGCTGAGGGAACTGGCAGAAGTCATTGCTAGACCACTCTCCATCATCTTTACCAAGTCTTGGGAAACGGGAGAGGTGCCTGAGGACTGGAGGAAAGCAAATGTCACTCCAGTCTTCAAAAGGGCAAGAAGGAGGACCTGGGTAACTATAGACCGGTCAGCCTCACCTCCATCCCTGGGAAAGTGATGGAACACCTTATCCTTGGTGCTATCTTAAGGCATATCAAGGATAAGAGCGTTATGAGGGGCAATCAACATGGCTTCACCAAGGGGAAATCATGCTTGACCAATCTCATAGCCTTTTATGAGGAAATAACACGGTGGATGGATGATGGCAGAGCCATGGATGTGGTCTACCTTGACTTCAGCAAAGCATTTGACACAGTCTCCCACAGCATCCTCACAGCTAAACTGAGGAAGTGTGGTCTGGATGATCAGGTAGTGAGGTGGACTGCGAACTGGCTGAAGGAGAGAAGCCAGAGAGTTGTAGTCTATGGGGTGGAGTCTAGTTGGACGCCTGTATCTAGTGGAGTGCCTCAAGGGTCAGTACTGGGACCAGTATTATTTAATATATTCATCAACGATTTAGATGAGAGAATTGAGTACTATCAGCAAGTTTGCTGATGACACTAAGCTTGGAGGAGTGGCTGACACGCCAGAAGGCTGTGCTGCCATCCAGCGAGACCTGGACAGGCTGGAGAGTTGGGCAGGGAATAACTTGATGAAATATAACAAGGGAAAGTGTAGAGTCCTGCATCGGGGCAGGAACAACCCCAGGTTCCAGTATAGGTTGGGGAACGACCTGTTAAGAGAGCAGTGTAGGGGAGAGGGACCTGGGGGTCCTAGTGGATGACAGGATGACCATGAGCCAACACTGTGCCCTTGTGGCCAAGAAGTCCAATGGCATCCTGGGGTGTATTAGAAGGGGGGTGGTGAGTAGGTCGAGAGAGTCCCCTCTACTGTGCCTGGACACATTCCTGTGTAACATTATCTAGGTGTTCCTGCTCCGGCAGGGGGATTGGACTAGATGATCTTTTGAGGTCCCTTCCAATCTCTAGCATACTGTGATACTGTGATATAATTGGCTTATACTTCTACACTATCTCTTATGGATAGATTACATCATGGCTGTGTTGCCTAAAATATTAAATCAGTGATTTTTTAATCAGTGCATACCCACGTATGCAAGAACTAACTCTATTTGCTGTGTAGAAAAGTGAAATTACCCTTCAAAAGAAACAGAGCTCTTAAAGATGGCTGACTACTGGACGCAGCTGTCTAAGGCCATTAATACGAACATAAGAAGATGGTTCTAGCTCTTTTGATGGACTGCATATGGCCATATGGCACTTAATATGCATTCAATGCTCCCAAAAGCTTGTTGAATAGCAAATGGCACAACAAAACCCATTGGTTCATTCGTGAGTTGGATGATACACACAGGGAGATGCTTAGGAGGTTAACATAATTTTTAATAAGAAGACTGCTTATAGCTAGGCATAGGCACATACTGATAAAAAGGGAAATTCTGGTCAGGTAGCTTGTACCAAAGTTTATCATAGTCTTTTATCAACCTGTAAATTGTGAAATCCTTGGCTCCTTGTGGCCTAGAACTCCATTTCAGTTGCAGTGCTCATGTGCTTATTATCTCCTCATCTGTTCTCTGCTGTTGTTGAACAGTGAGTGACTCCTATCGCAAGAACATATTGAGAAACTCAGCTTCACTTTTTAGTGCAGTGGGTAACCGAAGTTGCTGCTTTAGTTGTGAGATAATACCACACTGGATATAGTAATATATATTGGATATACTAATAGCAATTATAGTCATTAGTGGGGTGGAAAAAGAACAGTAGGTGGAGGGGGTAAAGTCTTACAGGATTTCATTTGCTAACTCTCTGCTGCAAATAAAGTCTTGCCAAAGTTTTGTTTACTTGAATTTCAGTGAAGGAATCCTGTTGATGGGAAGTCCTCTGTGGTGTGGACTTCCCTCCTATTCAGAAGAAAAAAATTACTTTTTCATAACAAGCAAGAACAAAAAATATGTATGCAAAGCTTAGAGAAATATTCTTCCATTAACAGGTAAGGATTTTACTTCCCCATGTTTATTTATGAGTTAAATTAATACAGTTTAAATATCCTTGGCTGCTATATAATCAGATTTTGAAAATTAAGTTCTAGTTAGTATTTGGAATTTCTTTGTAAAGACTAGTAACAGGTACTTAGCAGCTGTCCAGAACAATGTACAGGAAATTACAATGTTTCTTAGTAATCACTAGTTATCTTTACCTAACTATAAGTTACTGCCTTAAAAATAAGCAAGACTAAGCATAAAGAATCCTAGGCACAACTGAAATAAAAAAAAAAAATCATCAAAAGCCACCACTTCATGACATGTGTTTCCACGGTGAGTTTGCACACATTCACAAAACTAAAACAAGGTCCTCGCCAGTGCTAAATTTATTGGTTTTTTATTCACTCTATTTCACAAGAGAAGAAAAAATAATGCTTTTATTGGCAAGGTGAAGTTCATATGATATTTGACGCTTTGTGCTGCTGCCATAATTTTGTGACCCCAAAAAAATAATATCATGAAGTCTGTAAATCTGTTTGCCATACAACACAGAATACTTGTACCTGTTTTGTTTTGGGTTGGTTTTTTTTTTCTGAAAAGTCACATCACAATTCACAATATACCTGTTAAAACCTATTAAGACAACATAATTCAGTAAATGAGCTTGACTGTGTAAATAATCATCACTACTTTCAAACCTAAATTAAGCAACGCATAAAAATAACTTTATTTTCCATCTGCCCAAAAGTTTTGTGTGCCATTAATATACTCTAAAACCATTCTCAACCGTAACAGGAATTTAAGTATGGTCTCTAAAAACTTCACATTATATAAGCATTTCTGATGATCTTACAGGGTTTTTTTTTCAGAAAGAAAACTTAGTTTTAAACTGTCAAAGCTTCTGTTTTCCACACACAGTCCTTTTCTGTTTCCTGCACACAGGATTTCTAGAAATCACAGATAATTTTAATGGAAAGTAAAAATGCTGTATTCCTTACACTCTGAGCTTCTAGCCACCTTGCTGAGATTCTCAGCACCAGTGCTAATATCAGGATGCAGATATTAACTTAAGAACTGAACTAGGCCGTCAATGCCAATTCTTTTGTAACACACAAAATAAACCCCAATATTTTTTACCTATCTCTAGCTTTGCCTGGACTGCTTAGTAAAGGAAACTGAGAGTATAAGAAAGGACTGCTGAGGGAAGGACAAAGAATCACATTATTCACCAGGGTTCTATGTTCCTTGTTAGAGATTCTCTGTGCTTACTAAAGCATCTTCTTGCCTGGTTAAAACCACACTTTTTCTCTTGTCTTCCTCTGTTACAGTCTGACTCACCTGTTCAAACAACTTTGCTATCTTGACAAACCTCAGGTGATTCTGAAATCTTCGTGCAGCAAAAGCATAAAGTAGAGGGTTAATGCCACCACAATGCTGGCAATGAGTCGCTCTGATCGCCACTTAGATTGGTAAGTCATTCTGCTTATTCTTCTTGCAACACACATGTAACAAGTGCAAATAATTAAAAAAGGGATTACAAAACCTGCAAGAGTCTCCAGCAAAAGATACGACACTTTCTGTCCATTAGAAGAGTAGTTGCGACATGTGTATAGTAGTTGACAGTTCATTTCTTCTGTCTCCTGAAATGGAATGACAGAAATGCCAAAAGTAATAGGAACCAAATGAGGAACATGATTAAAACAATCTTTTGTTTTGTTAATTAACCATTAACCGCTTCAAGCTCAGTGCTGTAATTAAAAATATACTAGCATACACGCTGCAGTAAGTAATGAAAACCAGTGTTTTGCAGAGGATGACTCCAAAAACCCATGAGTCAGCAAAGGAGTAAATCCAAATTGGTAAAGTAATCAGTACAACGACATCTGCAATGGCCAGGTTCAAGATCAGAAGGACTGAAGGAGATTCTTACTTCATTTTGGTACAAACAGTCCAGATGACGATACAATTTCCAGGGGTCCCAATAATAAATGACAAGCTCAGTACTATGCAGACTACTGACCTCACAATATTCTATATTGAGCGCATACTGCTTTCCTCAGCTTGATTCATGCTGGAAATTCTTCAGTTCTTCTTGGTTGCTAATATCTTTGGTACTTTGTGCCCTGCATTTACTCTGTAACTTGAACTTGAAAGTTCTCTAACTGGTCTTCTGAAGACTAACAAAGCACATGAGCTCACATCTTCATGTTCACACTTGCAAACATCTGACTGCATATGGCAGTTCCTGTTGCCCAGGAAAACTGTGCACTTCTGCATACAAAGTGAAAATAAAGATACAGTGCAGCATCTGACTTTGTTTTTAGTTATAGTAAAACATACTTCAGCATATTTTACACCATGCCAGTGGTCTTTCAAAAGAAGCTTGCTACTTTGTTCAACTTCTGATCTAAGCAACACCTATGAGGAGAAAGCAACCCTCTTTATGCTATTCTACTCATTTATATGAATGAATAACACTTCATAAAAGTCAGAAAAGAGGGGTGGCAGATAAATCACGAATGTGCATTATGTTTGACATGAAATTCTATCCCAACGCATGAAAAACTGTGCTTACTGCCTCCATGTAATCTTCTATAATTCAGCAGGAAACAGTTGAACATGCTTTAGAAATATGCTGGCATAAAGGAAATCAACATTTTCTTATACTGAGACACTGCTGGTACAATAAAGCGGGTGGGAGTTGTATCTCTAATGCTCTGGGAAACTGCAGTAATTTAGCCAAACAATAACCATCAGAATAATCTGGATATAGGGTTATAGGAGGAAATGCTCTACGTCTGAGAAAAAACACATTATTATGTCGTCCTCCTCCTGCACCAGCAATGGGCTATGGCTTTATCTCCTAAGTAACTTGGTAAGTCCTGTGTGAATCCTAAGTTCTTCAGTGTCTGGCCAGAGAAAATGAAAATATTTTGTTATCCTGATGTCAAAACATCTTCTGAAGTTCATTTCTAAAAAGTTAAAGGAGGAACTAGATCAGCAGCACACATGGAAATGGTCAAGAGTCACAGAAGTGAAACTGGATGGGTATTTTCCATAAAAAAGATTCACAGAAGAAGTTATGTGTAGTGCTCTTAAATTTAAGATTGTATTACAGATCATTTCCCTAAGTGCTGAGGTAGAATTTTACAAAGCTGGCAAATGCAGAGTATGATACTAAGTTGAAAAGTATCTTTCACCATGGCAAAAGGGTTGCATCACCACCACCCCCAAATCAGCTTAGCTGGTTTTGATCTCATAAGAGCATAATGAGATCAAAAGCAAATCCAGAATAACTCCACTAAAGTCAAGTATTATCGCTTCAAAATGCTATTTGTGTAACAAATATTTTAATTTGGATTTAATCTGTTACATGATTCCAGTTCCATTTAATATAGATTGGGTGGGGGAAAAAAACCAAACCAGTAGTTTGTACTCTAAAGGGATTTCTGAAAACCACTTGTGATAATCAACTAATGAAGGGAAGTATAGGCAATGTCTTTTCTTCTAAGGAAATCACCTTTATACATTTCATTATTTCTCCAGAAGTAACTTTGGAAGAGCTCTGTATTCATTTATTGGCAGTGGCAAATAGAGACTGAACTAAGTTACAGATTTTTTTAGAAAAAAATAAAACCAAGGAGAGATGCCTGGTATCTCTGTAGCCCCAGCGCTACAGGACAGGCAGGTTCTTTTAGGTAAATTCTCAATCTAGATTATTATTATTGTATCACACACTTGTTATTAAGAATTTGACCTTGTTTGCAGAGGGCCTTGGTAACTCCAGATTGTAAGAAAGCTGTGCCGATTATTAGACATTCTGCTTAACTTAAAGCCATAGTTGCTAAAAATTCTGTGTAGCAGTAAGCTGTGCTATCTGCTAGAAATTGTAGATAACAATCAGCTATTATGTAATTAATTTTTTTATGTCATAGTAACTCTTTAATTGTAACTACAAACCCTCATGCTACCAGGGATCCTTAATAAAACTTGTACTTTCGTGTGACACTCTAAGAGTTTCCTCTTGAAAACTTTCTTTTTGGTGGCAAAGAGCATTTGTCTGTACACCTGTTGGTGCTGCTATTAGTACAGTTCTAATTCAGTGGTGTATGGATCTGGTTGAACTTTTGAAGCATCTATCTTTCCATTTTTCATAAATGTGTTTCTCCACTTCATCAAAGTTTGCTTGCCAGATGACCTCTGCTTCAGGCTGTATCTTTCATTTAAACAAGAAAACAAAGGAATAGCACAATTTCAGCAACAGCCTGGGAGTCTGTTTAAAAAAAAAATCCCAGACAGGTGTTGAAATGCTAAGACTTCCTTGTGTAAGACTGAAGACACGCTATTAGACCTAATATCACAGGTATTAGAGTTAATATTAGCTAGAGAGCATGTCTCTGAAGAGCTCTGCCTGTTGGATCTCTGTGAAAACTTTGGACTGTTTGTAAGCTGTCCTTAATATTCTCCAGAAGTGCCTAACCTTTACTTGTCAAATTTACACTAGTAGTACATGAACTTTATGGCAAATTTAACAAATATTTCCATTAACAATGGGAGCAGTGTAGCATGTTCAATAACATGCTGAACATGCTAGTGGCTGAACAACTCAGTATCTTCCTCATTCTAGTGAGCAAATGTGGGTGGGGCTTTTAATGCATGAACACGCAGTTGGACTTTTGACCACATAAGCTCTCATCTAATTCTATTAACAGCAGTGAAATTAGGCTGCATGTCTGTGTTTATAAACAAAAAGGTCTAAACCTGAAGTTTTTTTTGTGCTTACATATGTGTAGTGGAACAATTCAGCCATTAACATACCAAACTTTGAGTTTGTTACCTTGAGATTGGTGAATAACTTCTGAAAACTTTCCAAGCTCAAGAAGTCTGTGCTACTGCTAACAAAACATTTAAAACAGAATTTGATCTTTGTATGTTAGGGGCATGTTTCAGTCATCCTTTTAATGATTTATTTTTCTTTGCATGCAAGCATGGGTTTCCCCCTGGTGGAGGGTCTGTAATTTACACTACTACTAAGCATATTCAGACAGCTGCGCTTGGACCACTAAATGTAAATTACAACTGATATTTCCAGCTCTTGCATATTTACTCCGAGAATCAGAATTTCACTTCAAGATGCTAAGAATCTTTGGGCTAGCAGCCTCTGCTCAAATTGCATCATCCCTCCCTGCAGTAAGAGCATACCTGTAACAATTTAGAGTAGCTGATGCATGGGAAACCTGTGTTGCATACCTTGTGTGAATAGCTGTACCAAGAAGACTTTATAAATCCTCTCCAATGTCTTCTTCAGAAGGATATCCTGGATGTTTGTGAATGTAGGATAATGATCACCAAGTATCTCATATCTGCTGAGATGCTGGAAACTAATGTTAGTAACCATGTTTGCCTACCTATGCTGAAGGGAGGATGTGACTAGGCTCAACACCTTTGCTCTTCAGCCATTGAAACAAGGTAGTGTCGGCAGAATTGGCAGAGCTGGCTTATAATGATCTCGAATCAATTGTGCTATTAATGACAGTGTGAAAGTGGCACACTTTCATCAGAAAATTATGGTCTAGTACATAGCCCATGTAAATGTTGCTTTCTTGACTATAGGAAGGTCTCCTGTATACATGGGATCTCATGGTGTTTTGCAGCAGCTAATAATGTCTTTGCTCTGTGACTACTGAGAAGGAAAGTGCAGTGTGGGAAAAGGCATGTACCAGACATTTCTAAGGTCTTGCAAACACTGCTTGTGACACCAGTCCATGAGGCAGCAAGTACAAATGAGAACACTCTCAGCGCTGCTTTATCACCAGGGAAAATAACTTAGTGAAGAGCTACCCTGGGATCAGCTCCAGGATGTAATAAGAGATGTGTACCTTGCACTATAAATAGAAAGTTTGGAAGATTCTGTCCCATGTGTGTTATTGTTAATCAGTCATCTAATATTACAAAATTATTCCCCTTAGTCAGCTCAGTAGCAAATACTGATACCTTTATAGTTTGTAGACTGGCCAGAGAGAAGATCTCCTGTTTGCTATGTTCAGGGAAAACTGCTTTAAAACTTGTGATAGGAGGAGTGCTTACAAGGCAACTGAGGTACGTGCATCAGCACATGATTACATAATGGTACCTTTCTTACCCTAACAGAATTATTACAGACAACCAGAACAGGTTTCCAGCAGCTGTGAAACTAGTCAAGTGTATGGTGAAATATTCTCCTTGTACAGACATACCACGTTCATGAGAGGTGCTAATTAAGATAGTGGAAAAATGTATTTACAATTCTGACTATAGGAAGGAATATGAACAACAATGATGCAGAGATTATAGGAAAATTTAAATAGCGTCTCAACATTATTATGAATGTATATAGTTTAAATTTCCTTTTATTTATAGTTCAAACAGTAAACGCACAGATTTGTTACAATTTAAGGAAAGACTCTGGTCTTTCTAAATTAGCTATCACTAAGTTATTATTTGTATATATACAAACTGTTGCTAGCCAATACCTTTATCTACACAAACATATCTAGCATCACAATTGCTACTAGGTAAATCAAATACATTGTTTACATACTCTTCCTTTTGAGTAATAATTACTGATGATAAACACTGCTTGGATGATTTGCTGCCAAATGTTAATTGCTTTTTCCTTATTTAGCTAAATCTCCTGCCATTCCTACCTCATTTGCTGGGATTGCATGTATATATCATAGTACTATAGATCAACATGTCTTTTTGTTATCCAGCAGTGTAATGAAAGTCTTTAGCAGTGCATCTCTTTGTGAAGAACCTGTGATTAAAAAAACCCAAACCCATACTTTGCTGTATATGAACTGCAGCAATGGATGGTAGCTGTCATTTTGCACGTAAACCAAGGGTACACTATTTCCTACGGCATACCCTTACGTAAAAGGATTTGTCCATGTAGTTACGTTTTTTCAACACAGGGCGGCACTGGGTAACCATCTGTGCTTTTTGGCCAAGGTCGTAGGCTATGGAGGCATAGCCTTTCTATGCACACGGTGCACAGCGGTCAAGGCTGAGCCCTTCTTTTGAATAAGTTTCAAAGTTTGTGACTTAAATTTCAATATTTTTTCTGATTTATTGCTAACTTCATAGAAAAAAATCACAATGGCTTTTCTGTCTTGTAGATCATGTTATTTTCTACATACTCATATTTGTAGCTTTTTTAAGTACTGTTTTGATATATGTACATTTCCAATGCTACGTTTGGCTGCAACTAATACAGTAACGGCAGCTCCCTGTGCAACAAAAGTAACCTGGAATCTGATTTAATTTTCTACACCCTTGAAGTACCAAAATTTGGAAAGTTTGGCAATGATATGAACAATTGGTCCTTCATTGTAGTTTCCATTAGTGTGTTCTTGTAGTCTCTTTGAAAAGCAGATCGAGTTGCAAACACTCATGTTGTGAAACAACCCTGCTCAGCAGATTGGAGCTGCTTCCGAGTCTTATTTAATTCCTTTAATACATGAGCATTAAGCCACTCGCTTGGGCCCTATTGTGACACAAAGTCTTGGTTTTGTGTCCTTAATCATAAGGCTGGTTAACCGTGCTGAAAACTGAAAGACTGTACTAATTTCATGAGGAATATAGAGATTTTCTTCTGCTCTGTAGCAGCCACATAGGTGTGTTAGCTAAAGAAACTTGTAGACAAATGCTTCTACCCTGTCACTCAGTAATTACCATACTTGGTATGTCGTTCTGCACAGCTGGAGAAGCTTTCACATTGTACCATGTTGGTCTTCAGAATGATCTCGTCTAAGCATTCTTAATCTGAAATAAAAGTAATTAGAATTGGTTCTGTGATGTCACACACAGCTATAGTAACAGCTATTTACTTAACACATAATATATTGTATGGGAAAACTGTGAGACATGCAGTCTTCAGGCACGGGTAACTTCCTATCATTATGTAAAGTGAGCTATTGCTTCTGTAGAATTCATACATAATATTAAAAACGGCTGTGAATAATGATAACTTCATTAAATGAAGTAAGAGTTTTCACTGGCAAAAAGTGCTAGCACCATTTTCTCAGTTAAAAATCTTAATATTTACAGATTTTAACAGAATATAAAGCTAATAAACACTAAAGTAATGAGATCTCATATTATTCCTACATTTGACTCTTGCACTGAACAACATGATCTGGGTTTAGGCATTCTTAATTTTTATGTGGTTGAGTCAGAGCAGAAAGTCCTTGTAGCCCAGTGTCTTGTCTCTGCTGAAAGCCTAGGGGTGAACAAGCCATGTGTGACTATACTTGCCACACATACTCTCTGACATTCAGCCAATTACAGCTGAGGAGTTTCCTGAGCTAGGCATGATCACTGTGTGCTTAATAAAGCTTTGTGGATATTTACTGTGTAGACTTCCTAAGTCTATCCTTGAACTCGTGTAATATAAGCTTTAATACATGCTATGTGAAGAACTACCTCCTCTTGTTGTTCACTAGTCTCCTGTCAATTTCATCTGGCTTCCCACAATTTATATGTTGGAAGAAACAGTGAACAGTTGATTCCTAGCCTTTATTTGATTAAACCCTACCTGATCGGTCGGACATTTTTATTTCCAGACTGAAGAGTTCTTGCATACATGATCAATCCCTCATAGAAGCCATTCCACATCTTTCATCACCACTGCTGCCTTCTCTTGTCATTAAGTTCTTTTATATTCTCTGAGATGGAAAAACAGACTGGTTCTGAAGTTCTCAATTAAATTGCAGCATGCTGCACAGGGAGAATGAGAGAAATCAAGTCACAGAGAGGTCTCAAGTCTGTTTCACCCTGCTACAGTGTAAAAAGGAGAACAGCTTGGTTGTCTATCCTTAAACTGCTGTCAAAAAAAGTCCTTATTTAAAAAAAAAAAAAAAATTGGAATAATTTAGTTTACATTCAAGCCCCCAAAATAATAATTAGGGTTGTCTTTTTTTTTTCCTCAGTGCCAGTCTGTGCTTTAGAATTTAGAAGGTGTTTCAAAGGTCACTGTGTCATTCTCCCTTCATTTACTCCAGATGCTCCACAATCATGGAAATCCTCATGTGATGCAATTACCTTGTAATCCTTAAACCACAGGTTGTCCTCTGTCTGATAAAGGTTTGTATCTGCCTGCTATGTGTCCTATTCTGTGCATAAACCATTAAAAGTCAAGTATCATTTAAATATGCTGTTATTTGGTATTGTATGAAAGGCAGATTTAACTGTGTATGTTAATTTTTTTCTTGCTATCTTTGTGTCTTGTTATGCTCATCTGTGTGGGAAGCATTTAGTCTCCAATGGTGTTGAATGGTATCTCTTTTAACATCTATTATTTCCCTAGACAGCGACTCTATGACTGCTTTTTTCATGATTGCTGTTTTCCTGTCCTTTTGAGTTGCTACATACTGGCCAAGTTGTGCGGTATCTGACCACAATGTTAATAAAACTACTGCTACAGCTTTCGTGTCTTTGTTCCCCTCTGCAGTAGCTGGATGTATTTCATGTTGGCTTTACAAAATGTTTGCGTTGTGCAATATATCCTGATAGAGTGCTGGCTTTGGGCACATTTTGAGATCTGTTACTGGGTGAAAAACACACTACACTGTAGAGAAAACATGGCTAGGGCTCTTGCTAGGCATTGCTGCTGAGAATCAATTGATCATATTATTAGGAGTCCTCCCCCATGACTAATCACAGATCCAGTCACAAGTCTTACCTAAATTCTAGACCTCTGGATCAGGTTTTGAATAATGCTAGGCTGAATTTCTAGTTAAGGAGGTTTACTAGGTTATTGCTTATCATCCTGTAATACCATATTCTATACAAGGTTATACAGATATAAAGAAGACAACTGTAAATCACATAAAACCAGAACTGAAACAGACATTTAAACAGAAGTTCAATTTTATAAATTAGCCTTTCTATGTTATCTGAGAAGAGTTATCTTCTGTAAGCACAACAGAAAAAAATCAGCACTATCAGCTTGCCAAAATGAGGAAATTGAAAAAGATAGAAGCTTTGAGAGAATTCTTTTCTCCAGCTAATCAAGGCATCTTTGTAGCCCACAAACACAACAAAATTATTTTCACAAGTTATTTTAGGATGAGGTCCAAGTAGAAGAGTTGAAAATTGCCTCATGATGGTATATCCTTTAACAGGAAATCATGAGACCAATTCATATGCCACATGAAAGCTCATAGATTTCTTGCTTTCAGCAGAAATCTGTTTTTTGGCATGATAGCAGTACCCCTTCCCTACCACTTCTTCAGCATATAATCTGAGCAGTTTCCCTTCCAGCTGCCAAATTACTTTCACCGTACCATGAAGAAACTCTTAACAGTGTTAGTCTAGTAACATATTGGCAATGTAGCACGGCAGCAATATTTTCATAATCTCAAGGTATTTGTAGAATACTAAACTTAAAAAAAAAAAAAAAAAGAAAAATTGTTCCACTGAATCCATTTTCTCAAAATTTCTATGTCCAGCCAGTGTCCGGCAGGTTTCCCCTTTCTAACATGTCCACAAATTACTCTAAATTACCATTTTTTTTTAGTTTAAAATATGACATGTTAGTTCATTGACCCCTGTTCAAAACGCTCTTCACTCAGTGTTAATCCCATAAATGGGTTTGATGAAATGGTGGAATTTTAGTAGAATTGTCATTTTATATTTTCCTTACATTATTTGCCCAACAGAACTATCAGAATAACTGCTTTAAATTTGATCCTAGCTATGATCTGAACAAAAGGATTAGAATAATGGCTTTCAAAAGTCCCTTCCAACCTTAATTTTCCTGTAATTATATTTTTGCACTGACACGTTTGACACAGCCTGACACAATGCTACTCATGATGCTGCTGATTAAAGCATTTTCCCATGACATTATGTTCCATTAACCATTCCCAACTGCCTGTGTCCCTCAGCCTAGAAAGGAACTATGTCCTTACAGGAATGATCAAACAATACTTTCTAACTTAACGTGCCAAGTGGATGGGATAGTAAGTGTCTGTACACAATTTACATGCATTTATAGGCTATCTATGTCTTTCTTTGGAAAGTGGTATCAGCCAAACAGCAGATGAGGCTTTTATTCTTACATGCACTGACAGTCAAAACTGAGATCTGACTGGATCTTTCTTATTTGGTTCTTAGCTGTAGTCAGTTTTCCTACTCGCATCTAATTTTTAATGGGACAATCTTAATTTAAAGATTAGAAAATAAATAGAGGGTCTATTTACATTACAGCTCCACATCCAAGAAGACCACTCGCTTTACAGTGGGACTGAATGTTTCATATCCAAAGAGCCATAATTATAAAACGATGAAAAAAAAATATTCCATATTCCTTAAACTCAGTTGAACTGTCCTCAGTTCTTTTTTAAATGCACTCAGTAAAGAGGAACTCTCAGATTATGTATCAACTGAAGTCTCCCAACAACTATGATCTGTCAGATGTTTTTCCATCCTTCTGTGTTGGAACAATCTAGCAGGAGTTTCAGTTCTTCTGAACACACTTGTGTTTCTGTAAATGGATTCACTCTTGCCAGTGATCAGCTGGATCTAGTAGTAGCAATGTTGTGTCTTCTCACAAGTAACCTTGAGCTAGCAAATTTCTTAATCCCTGTATTTCTCAGGAACTTCCCTGACAGTCTGCCCCACTGGGATACCAAACAGGTGTGACCCTGAATGGAATTGCTTATTAAGCAGAAGACTAGTGGTCTCCTTGCCTTTTCATTATATGTGGGCTGGAATCCTGAAATGCTGCTGTTTGACTCATGCCACATGACAAACAAAATTTCTTTTGCTTTTTTTGACAAGTATGTCACTTTGTCTTTACCACTCTGGCAGTCTTGTAAGACAAGTTAGCCTTACAATACCAGCATGCTGAATCCTCTTTTTTCTCCAAAACTTCTCTCCACCTGAATACTACCTTGTCTGCAGGTCAAAACCCCCTTGTTAGCTCTCTGCCTCAGAGGGTGCAAACAGCTGCTCTGCACAGCAAAAAAATGTCAGGCTCTACCACTCACACAATGTGTTGGTAAGTTGCTGTAATTTACGGTAACTTGTGCAAGACTAAAGTTGTCCCTGAGGGATCAACCTACTCAGTTTTCATCACAACACAGATTATATTTTCAACTCTTTTCCTCATATATTCATCCTACACAAAATTGCATCTCCCCTTTCCATCTTCCTGAATGGTCTTTTATTACTAATTTCATATTTTACCTAGATTCAATTTTAAAATTCTTCAGTGGTCCAACCCAGAACACCAATCCTCTTGAATAAAACTCCCCGTACCTTAAGTATCAGCATTCTTGCTAAGAATTTCACACTCCCACAGCTGAACAAAATTCTCTTTAAGCAATTCAGCCTGTTAGTTATTAGATCTTCATAATTTACCACAAAGCTCTATTATGTGGATGGTTTACAAGGATGAATTGATTTGCTTTAGCAAAACATAAGCCAAAGGAGTCATATGATCTCTATTATACAGATTAAAGTTTTAAAGATAGGAGAGATGACAATGCCAGGATTTGTTAATTGTGGCTATCCTACCTTGGCAAATGGCTAGGTTCTGCTCTTCTAGTTTGATGTTCATGTAAGGCTGCACTTCCATACTCCCACTAGACAACTCCCCTCTTCCCTTCCTTCTGGCCCTGTTCTGCACTGTAATCAAACTTAGCCTGAAAGACACTGAGTTTTGGTTAATGTCCTAATGCCACTGAGCATTTCCTCACCCTGAGCAGTGTGAGGAACAATATGGAAGTGAATACGAAGTATTGAGGAAGCAGGGAGAA